ATTTTTATGATAAGATACTTGCACTTTTACTCAAGTATCACTTTGAGGTACTTTATACAATACTGCTACTGTTAGTAGTAAATGATGATGACTGCGGTATTGAATCACAGACCTCTTTGCACTACTTAGGCCAATGCTTGGCTCTGAGTAGTCTAAGGGAAAGAATTCTTGGAGACCCCTTTGTGGATCCTGAGAAGCTTAGAACACTGAGGGTTTCTAACCTGGTGTCCTTCATCCGAGGGACAAAAAGRTTTGATTAAAGCCCAGTATCGCAACGGGCCCACTTATGAGGCCCCCGCTCACCTGGGTTGTACCCATCCCCAATTACCATTACCATTAGTAGTAAATACAGTATGTAAAACTTTATTTATATAGCACCTTTCAAGATAGGAATCACAAGGTGTTTCACCAAACACATATAAAAATACACAGAGCAGATTTAAACAAAAACAGATTTAAAAGATCAGTTTTTAGCTGAGCTTTAAAGAGCACAGATCTTAAATTCAGAGGAAAAGAGTTTCAAAGCCTTGGAGCCACAGAACAAAAATGTTTCCTCTACTGTAAGTCTTTAATTTTGTACAAGGAACAATCAGCATTCTTTATCACAGGACCCCAAAGCCCTGACAGGAGTGTAGGAATGTAAAAGTTCAGAGGTGTGTGGCGTCTGATCATGCAGAGCTCACCAAGTCAAATCCAAAATCTTTAATTTCACTCAATAATGACAAAACTTTGAAGATCTAGTCAGGAGCCTGGCAGCAGCATTCTGCACAGACTGTAACCGGTCAAGGGAGGTTTTAGTTGGGCACGTATACAACATAATACAATAATCTAAACAAGAYGAAACAAAAGTATGAAGTAGGATTTTCGTTTCTGAACGAGACACAATGAGGCTGAGATTTAATATAGATGGTAGAAACTGAAACGAACCAAAGATGATCCAGTGCAAGACCAGAGTCAAAAGTTATCCCAAGGTTTTTAACTGAAGATTTAGCCAGACTGCCAAGAGGCCCAAATGTTCTAAATGCATCGTTACCTCTGTTCCCTGCCACCACCACCTCAGCACGTCATTGGTCTCGATCCTCCTCATGATTCCCTGCCCTCTCATGTTTTTTCTGTAAGTTTTTCCACAATGACRGCCTTATAATTTATTTTACTCACTGATAGCTCCCTGTGTTTGTCAGAAAAGTTAGAAAACACTTCTCTTCCAGTTCAGAGAAGAAATTCTGAGCTTAGTTTCAATGGGAGTTGAGTTTGTGYGTGTGTGCCTGCATTCTGGAGGATTTGAGATAAACCATAAATCCTACAGAAGTGAGAGACTAGAGATGTGATGTTAGCAAACGATCCGAATCTTTTGAACAACTCCTTACAGCGAACGATAGGAATTGAGTTGCGGGACGTTTGTAGTTAAATTTATTTATTCCCCCTAATCTCTTTATTTCTCCTCCTTCACCACCTCCTTCAKCTTTTCACAGAAAACAGGCAGAGCGGTGGAATACAGCATCTCTGAGGAAAGGTGGATGGGGGTGTGTGTGGTTACACATGGCTCCACYGACATGATGCAGTGATGCCCTTACATACACCCTGCATGATGACGTGACTCTGTTAAACAGCTAAATAAAACAAATATTCAGATCTCCTCAAAGAGACGTTTGTCTCATCTCTCTGAGAGACACTGTCTGAAAGGAGACAAAATAATTACATTTAGATGGACAAACCACAGAACAAGCATAAAGATTAACTCAGAAAGAGCTTGGAGTTAGTTTTTTGGGATGTGTAAACAAACTGGGTGGAACAGTGGCTCAGTTGGTAGAGCTGATGCCTCTCAGCAGGTCACAGAATCAAATCCCAGCTTGGGATCTTTCTGGGTAGTTTGCATGTTCTCTCTGTGCATGTGTGGGTTTTCTTCAGATTCTCCCATTTCCTACCACAAAACAAAAACATGACTGTTAGTTAACTGATAACTCTAAATTGTCCCTAGGTGTGAGTGAATGGTTGTCTGTCTCATTTGTCTCTATGTGTCTCTGTGATGGACTTAGAGACCTGTCTAGGTTGTCCCCCACCTCTCGCACAATGACTGCTGGATGTGGGAAGTGGGTAAAATATACTGGATGGATAGAAGGTAAACAAATTAATAGACTGTGTGATGAGATTAAC